CGCTAGCGCCGGAGCCCGAGCCTTGCCCCCCCCCACGTACCGACACGCGAAGGGCCCTTCCCTCTCCTCCCAGGGCAGGTGCTTCGGGGGGCCTTGGCCGGGAAAGGGCCTCTCCCCCGGGTCACCTTTTGTCCACGTGTTGGTTGAAAAATCAAAGAATTTGAATAGTTCCTCAATAATTCTGCAAATAATTCAGACGGGTTGAGGGCCGAGTGATGCAAAAGCCCTGCTGACCCTTCCCAACAAATCGTGTTCCGCTAGGGGGCTGAGCATTTTGATTTTTTTTTATTATAGTTTCAACCAGTTCGCCTGGTGCGGAAGTCAGAGTTAGCGACCTGCGATTGCCAGGATTTCCTGTGGCGCCTTCTTTTAAAATTGGCATCATGATAATTGTTCTCTAGCGACCTGTTCCAGAAGCTGATTTGAGCAGTAGGTTACATGCCATAGAAAATAGCTTTGTAATTTCATATTTTAGAGAGTATGAAATATGAACATTTATCTGGCCCTACTTACTGCTGAATTTATCTCAGAACTTCTTTTCTATCGGCACGTCAATCTAGAACAATTCCTCTGACTTATCACCTACAAATAATAGCTCAAGTGTGAGAATCTGCCTCATCTTCTCTGCAGCAAAGGCTGATGCAAATAATTCATTTAGCTTCTCCAGAACGGCCTTATCTTGCCTAAGTCATCCAGTGACCCCACTAACAACTGTAGAGCAGGGAAGCCAGGTTTTTGCCTGCCCTGGGAGCCCCTTTCCCAGCAGGATGGTGGGAGGGTGTTGTTATGAGTGCTCTTGTCTCAGTGTCTGGCTCCACGGTGATGGGCATTGTGTATGGAGCTGCTTTTGGATCACACCAGGCTGGTTACGGAACTGGGCATCCCCAGGTCCTTTCTGGTCTTGGTCATTTGTCTTTTAGTTCCTAGTAGCAGAAATTCTTGTGTTTCTCGTACATCAGGACTTCGGCAGAAACGTTTACACTATTAAGGAGGTGGTGAGTGAAATCCGGGACAAGGAGACCAGGAGGCGACTGGCCGTGCTGCCCTATGAGCTTCACTTCAAACAGCCCTTCCCTGAGTATGTTAAACTAGGTAAATGAGCTGGCCTCATGGGCACCTGGCAGAGCACTACGGCAGCTGCCCACAGCCAACTCCAGTGGCCTTCCTGCCAGGGCCGGTACTCGCACAGCTTTACTCACAACAGCTGTGCTCGTTGTAGTTTGTATACTCTGGATTCTATGAAGCACAGGTCAAGGGGAAAGTCCCATTCCTTTATTTAGCTCCTGCTCCTGCGAGAGAAACAAACCATTGTGTCGGCTTGACAAAGGATTGGTCCTGCCTAGAGCAGGGGGCTGGACTTGATGCCCTTCTGAGGTCTCTTCCAGCTCTATGGTTCTATGATTGTAAGTGTCAAACGTGCTCTCACCATTCGTGCTATGAATTTGCTCCCCAGCTTAGCGCAATAGTTTTTACTTTGGCTTCTAATCAGGTTTGCTTCCTAGTTCTTGGGACATAGGACAAGGCTGTGATTTCTGGGGGGAAAGTTCACGGAGAGGAGGATAGTAAAACTGTTTTGGGGGAATGAATCTTTGATCTGCTTATCCCATTGCTACTAAAACCTACCTCTTAACCTTACTGTCATTAGTCAAGAGAAAGTGACACTACCTCTGGATTCTGCGCTCTTTAAGAGAGCAGCACCCCTCCCCCCCTTTGCGTACAGCTAGCCATGGACCAGAAGAAAAGACCTGAGGAAGAGATTTAAAGAGAAAATGCCCTTAGGAATTGAGGGTTTGGGGAAGAATTCTCAATAGACGGGAGTGTTCAAAGAAAAGAACAGCCTATTTAGGTACCCCAAGTCCCCCCGCTGTATTCATATATTTCTAGGAGGCCTCCCTAAGAGCCGTGTGTCTGCGAACCGTCGGACTCAGGCAGGACTCCCCCCCGTGACCACACTCTCACTTTGTTACAGTGACAGAATTCTCAAAAAAGACAGGCGACTACCCCAGCCTGTCAGCCACAGATCTCCAGGTGCTAGCCCTGACCTACCAGCTGGAGGCAGAGACCGTTGGAGTGGCTCATCTGAAGACAGAACCAGAAAAAAAGGTAAACTCCCTTGAGTGACGCATCCAGGCTTCTGCCATGGTGCTGGGTGGATGAATGGGTCACATGTTTCATGGGGAGGTACGATGCTGGTGGGGGAGGAGCTTAATTCCAATTCTTGGTGTAAAATTTGGGCTGAATCTATTTTTGTGACTTGGTGCCATGTCACATGACCCTTTGTCTGGTCTCCAAAAAGCACTTCTGGGTAGCCGAGAAATTTGAAAAACAAATAATTGAAAAGAAGCATCTGGCTGCAATAAAGAATGTAGGTAAAATATTAGCTCTGAAACACTTGCGTTAAAAGAATTGTACAGCTGCACGGCCGTAGTCACCTCGCCCCGTTCCCCCCTCAAAATAAATCCAGTCTCTCTAAAATGCACAGCACAGAAAGTACAATACTGCGTGATGCGTGTAAACAGCTGTCAGTCAATACACTAGGTAAATGTGTGTGACTGCAAGGTAGGGTCTGTCACTTCTTACGAACACCTCATGGGTGAAATCTGCAACATAAAAGGGTTCTAAAGCCCCACGTTTGGCCCAGCGCAGATTCTTTAGTGCAGGTGCAGAACCCCGCTGTAAGGCTGCGTTCCCAGCCAGCCGGCCAAGCCCCTCTGCCTCCAACACTCAGCAATAGTGCTGAGGGGGGAAGGATGTTAGGGGCAGAGCTGTGACCTTGCAAGGACTCTGAGCAGCATTGCCACCTGCTGGGCAGCCTCCCTGGCTGCCCTAACTCTGGTGGCCCTGTGGGATTTGATTTCTGCTGGGAACCGCTCCATCCCCAGAGCCGGGGAGGCATAAACGCAGCGCAAGCCCCATGCACTCCCCTCACCTGGATGTGGCCCAGCTTAGGAAGCCAGTTCCCCCGCAAAGCAAGCATGTAGGGTGAGATCCTGGGGACTGAACCATGCTTGGGGGGCCTGTTTTAGCCATGAGTTGAAGTGTAATCATCCGCCAGCTGTTCAGCATCTTCCACTTGATTTGGAAAGCCAGTCCAGTCAACTCAGCTCCATGGCTGGAGGGGTTCTGGAGAGATGCCCCAGGCCGTCCCGGTGTTCTGGCCTGGGAACTAGCCCAGGCCAGTCCGGGTCTGGAGTTCTGCTTTGCCTGCTAACCCCATTGCTGCTCTTAATCCCCCGCAGGTTCAGCTGAGCTCCACCATCCGGCATCCAGAGGCGCCTGTGAATATCGCTGGGTTCCACCTGCCATCCAAGGTACCTGTTTGCATGCGCCGGGATAACCCTCTGGGGGTCCTCCAAGGGAAGGTGCTAGCAGGGGGAAAAGAGCCTTCCACGCCCACAAAGGCTCATTTCCGGTGAGGTTGCCTGAGAGCGTTGTATCCTGGGAAACTGAGGCAGGGGGTGTTTCATCACAGGCAGTGTCAGGACAGGAGTGGAGCTCGCAGAACCTGGCCCTGCGAACGGTTACAGGGTCGCCTGTGCTGGCCTCCTCCCTTCATGCTCTCGCTTCTCTTCCAGGGCCTCCCGGCTCCTTGGGAGTGTCCCATTGTTCTGCACGTTAATCCTCTGTCCCCACTGCCTGTCTAGGATCAAGCAGTCAGGCCTGGGCACCAAGGAGGCAGCGGCAGCCCCAGGCTCTGGGGATGTCCCAGCAGTCTAGTAACTTTGTTGTATTTGTTCTCCCCCAGTCCCAGCGCCTGGAGGCGGATGCGTGCGTGTCCACCTCGGCAAGCCGCCCGCGGGCAGCAGAGGACAGCCCCGAGTTCGGGGCCTTCCTGTACTGGAGGAACCCTCTGCCCAGCATCGAAGAGGACCTGCAGGAGCTTCTGGTGAGAGGCAGTCAGGGCTCTTGAATTCCCTTGTCTTTCCCCAGCTCGTTTCAGCTGGATTCTCTCCCTGGCTTGCGGGTGTTCGGTTGGCGCCCCCTCCTCGGGCGGCACTCCCCTCTCCTGCCTGCGTGCTGCATGGGACGCCTCTGACAGCATCTCTCGCCCTGCAGAAAGCTCACACCGTTTCCCTGAGCCCCGAGGTCCCAGCGACACTGCCGCCTGGGATGGATCAGGAGAGCGCTGGGGAGGAGGGAAGTGACGGGGACAGCGACGACGGAGAAGGCTGGATAACGCCCGACAACATCAAACGGATCCAGCAGGGGATGGGGCATTGCGATGCTCCTGCCAACGTGCAGGTCGGCTGCGTGACCACAGACTTTGCCATGCAGGTAAGGAAGGGCTGGGGGACTGCAGTTCTGCACTAGAGGGACGGGGGCCAAAGCACAGGGCAGGACATCATTGAGCACGTCCACACCAGCCAAGTCTCCCAGACGCGATCGCAGCATGAGAAGCAAAGCGCCTTGGTCTGAAACTGGCTCGAAGAGAGAACAGGCAGGAACCAAGGGGCAGTTGTTAACCTGGCGTCCCCAGCACGTAGAGGAACGGCAGAGGGGTGTGCACCAGCGGCCCTGTACGACAGAAAAGGGGCGAACCGAGGGGCTCGCCTCCCTGCAGGTGGCGTTTCTGTCTGCCCTGGAGAAGAGATGGGCCCCACCAAGCTAGGTCAATGGAGTCAGTAGCTGGTGTTGGGGCATAAACTGACCTAACGAATAGGGTTAGGAAGAGCCTCCCCCTCCCTGCCGTGGGCATCGTATCGCACGCGTGCCCACCACCGCGAGTCTTGCTGCACTAGGCACTGGCCTCTGAGAGGTTGCTGGCCGAGGTGGGCCCTGGTCGGACCCCGTGAGCCATTCAGTCCACAGGGGTAACAAGACTCCAAGGTGGCAGTCGGTGTCTATGGCCGTCCTGGAGAGCAGTAACGTCTCTCCCTGCTTTGGCCGCACAGCTCCTCTTGCAACTGGCTTTAGGCCGTCCCCGCAGCTGGTTCCATGTCAGGCCCACGATCCACACCTGGGTTTGCTACAGTTCTGGCGACTTGCCTTGTTGTTTGGTGCGTCTGCAGGTTCCTCCTTCACACTTTTCTCCGTGCTTGTTCCTTCTTGCAGAACGTTCTGCTCCAGCTGGGTCTCCACGTGCTGGCAACGAACGGCATGCTGATCCAGCAGGCCAGAAGCTACATCTTACGCTGTCATGGCTGCTTCAAGTACGTGTCACGAGCACGGGGCAGGGAGCTGCCTGGGAGCTGATGCTTAGTAGGGATGTAAAATCCAGATTCATTGGTTAACCATTAGGTTAACTGGTTAACCAACTAAGTGGGATCTCAGCTGGAGCAGCCTGCAAGTTCCCTCTCCCAGCTGGGACTGCCACTTGCCGCAGGCCAGAGCTGCGCCCAGGCATCTGGTAAGGGTGATGTTAACCAGTTACCCAGTCACATCCCTAGTGCTGAGCCAGCTGAATGGGGCAATAGGAAGGTTAAACGATTCAGCTGCGTGTAGAGAGCTTGCCAGGAGAACTCAGCCCAGGTGTCACCGAAGGGGGGTATTTTGGTGGCTAAACGCCTGTCGTGAATTAAGTGGGGACTGAACAGACTCATTCAGCTTGCAGCCTAAGCAATGAAAAGCAGGTGCACGAAGCCAGCGCATCACCTAGCTCCAGGGACTTTCCTCCTTCTGGATCCTGTGCTCAGAGCCTTGCTCCACCCTCAGTGGGGTCGGGACTTGGAGCCCATCTGGGCTGGGTGCTCGACTCCTGCAAGGGGGCGCCCCACGCTGTGATACTGGAACCTTGACCCACTTCTGTTTTCTAGGACGACGTCCGACATGACTAGGGTCTTCTGTCCGCACTGTGGCAACAAGACGCTGAAAAAGGTGGCCGTGAGCCTGGGCGCTGACGGCACCCTCCACATGCACTTCTCCCGCAACCCCAAGGTGCTGAACACACGCGGGCTCCGGGTGAGTAGGTCGTCCGTCGCGCAGAGGCACAGCACTCTTGGGACGCGCTTTTCACCTCCCTTTTTGGGGATCCCAACTGGAGCTTGATTTCAGGTAGTTTGTTGAGCAGATACATTTATCAACTGCTGCCCGCTAGGCCGTCTGCATTTACAGACACTTTCTGGCTTGCGTTTAGACTCTGTAGATTTGTAGATTTGCCTGAAAAGGGGGCACACTAGCTTTTACCAGAGTTCTGATTACTTGCGATGTAAGTCGTGCTCCCACAACAGCAACCTGAGAGAGAAAACGCAACCTGGTGTGGCTCTTGAAGCCCTCATAGGATTTTAATTTACAGTTTTTACCCTTTACACTATACTTTGCATGTCATGGGAAAATGCACCTTCCTTGTACTTTGCTGTAACGTTACTTTAGTCGTATTAATTTATAGAGGGTGTAACTTTTTTATGTTCATGAAGTTTTCCTGGACTTTTATTAAAGTGATGCTCTGATTACCTAGAGCCATCTTAAGGCTCGGGGGGCCTACCATTGCCTTTTCTCCTTCATTATTTTACTATAGCTCTTATTGACTGTAGTTACCAAAAACAAGAAATCCAGAATCTTTTCCCATTGAATCTCTCCCCATTTTCCCGGCTCTGGCTGCCTCTTGTACCAGCCACAGCTTGGTCTCTAAAAAGATATTGAACTTTATAAAGTACTGAGGTATCTTAAGGGTTAAATGCTAAATACCAAAAGCAAAGCAACACTAGTTACCTGTGTCTGGCAAAAAGTGTTTTGTCAGTTTTACAACTTTTAATGAAATGGCCTTATTAAAAACCAAACCAAACCAATCACTTTGAGCTTACAAAGCAGGGTTTTTCACAAACCTATAAAACAGGAGTCCTGGACCCTAAAACCTCACCTATTTACACTGTATATATACACGGACACACGTGTGCATACATTCTCTTAAGATTTCTTGCACAGTTTCTTCGTAGCTGTACAAAGATTACATTCCCTTTTATTCATTTGGGGTAGTTAAGTTCCAATAGAAACCCCTTACCTTCTTTTAGCAAATTTGATTAAAGTGTCCATAATCAAATTACCAGATTTTTGGGGGGGAGGTGGTGGGGGGAGTTAGATTATTTACAGACGTGTTTTTGGAAAAGGGCCCATTTTTCCTTTAGATTGGCTGCAAAGAAACCAAGAATTCTTTTCTTTTTTAACATTTTTACAACAATTTTAAATGCTCGATTCCCTCCAGACTCTGCAGGATTGACTTCATTCTTTTCCCTTAAAGCCCTTGCTTTTCTCCCAAAATGCAAACTTCATCAGTTCAGATATTACTATTCCAAGGAGCTGAATTTCCAGTGCTTGTACTTGTGGCTTCTCCTTACTCCTGCCACAGTGCCCTCAATCTCTCTCTCTTGCTTGCTTATTCTGGGCCTGATCCCGTTTTCCTTGCAGGACTGCCCCTTTCCGTGGACTCTGTTCCACTGCCAAGTTAGCAAGGAAGGAGAGCTCCCCAACTAGCCCCCACACCTCCTGGTCCTTTTCTTAAACACTTCCAAATGTCCCTGTTCAGCCGCTTCCATCTAGTTTGCCCAAATAACTGTTGGGACTTAACAATATTTCTTCCTATTGTCCATTCTCCTAAAGACCCTGCCTAGCAGGGTACAGAGAAGACGCTTAGCTTGTTTCTGTGAGCTCAGGCCCGCTACACCCGAGGAAATAACCATGTCACACAATTCCCCTAGCACGTGGTGTGGAGAGGAATGCTAAACCTTTCTCCCTTGCTCAGCCCTGCTGTGACTGAGGGTATGTGAACCTTGGACAGTATCCCCCCCACACACACACACACACACCGAGCAAAGGTGGTGGGAGCAAAGAAATCTAATCCCCCTCCCTGTTTCCTGGTAGCTCTGCGACCAGGGGTGCACACACCTGAATGATCGATCAGTTTTTACATAGTCCAGCTGTCAGTTATCATATTTCAAGGCCTTAAGCAAAATTATCGATCACCACAGTGAATACCTTCCCCTGCTACCATTTCTCCAGAAAAACGTTACTCTTAAAAGAAGCACCCTGGATCTCTTCTAGGGGAAAAGGCAATGCGCTGCGTTGCTTGAGAATACAAAGGGGAGAGAGCATATGCATTCACACGCACGGCTCAAGTCAGTCTTACTGGCCAGGCAGAACTGACCGAGTGAGGAGTCGGGTTCTTGTTGATGGCGATTCATGTCCGTTTCCATTGGAGTCTGTGGGCTTTGCGGTGTCATGCTGCAGTCCTCTGTCATTAGGAGGTGTTAGTCTATGTTGTGTTGTCCAGAGTTACCCTTGATGGCGAGTGTCAGGCTGCCCAGCGGGGTGTCTCCTTCTCGGGTAGACTCTGCCTGTCTCCAGGGTCCGTCAATGCTGCCAGTTCCATTCAGCCTCAGACACAATGGCTGTTTCCTGGTTCTTCTAGATTCCCACTTCTTGACCACGTGGGCGCATGTGAGGGCTGTCCCACTCACGCCACACAACTGGGCAGAGTCTCAGACACGATTAATAGGCGCTAGCAGACACAACTTACTTTGCAATGCAGACATGAGGTGCAGCTTGATCTGTAAAGCCAACAGGGAGCAGTAACGTTACCTAATCGTGAGAGACGGGCAAACAGCAGCCGAAGGTACGAGCAGGTCGTTGTACGGCACACTGATAGGCTTGTACCCGGTACTAAATTACACTTGGGCTACACGCTGCCTGCTCTGCTGTCGCGCCAGCCTAGTGCCGCCAGCACAGGGCCTGTCTGGTTAATGGCTCAGGGCCCCCAGCTCAGAGGCCTGCTGGGGATGGTTTTGCTGGTGCTCTGCTTTGTTGACAGGGAAGGAGTTTCTCAGATTAAACCAGCAGGGATCACTGTGATCATCTGGCTTGGCCCTCTGCGTAACGGAGCCTGTAGGGCAGTGGTCCCCAACCTTTTGGGGCCGCCCGTGTGCTGCGTGCCCAGGGCAGGGGCCGCCCATGCGCCCGGGGCCGGCAACACGCATGTGCCGGGGGCAGGGGCCCAGATCATGCGGTGGGCACCACGTTGGGGACCACTGCCGTAGGGTTTTCCTGAACTAATTCCCGCCCAGTCACAGTGGTGGAATTAGAGCTCGTCTTTCAGAAAAACAGCTGGGCTGGCTAGGAACGCTGCCCGTGCTGGATAATCCACGGGTGCTATTGCAGTGACTGGTTACCCTCACTTAGTTCTGGCCCGCGTTTGTCTAGCTTCACCTTCCAGCCATCGTCTGGTAGCTAGAGCCCCAGCTGCGGTTTTGCTGCTGTAGGTAGGTGCCTAGATGCATCCGGGCTGCATGAGGCTAGTTGGGGAGGAGTTCCTGGGCAGAACCAGCCTCTGTCTGGGGCTTTGCAAGGGTCTCTGCTCCGTAACACCTTTTCCTTTCTCTCTCAGTACTCCCTGCCCACTCCCCAAGGGGGGAAACACGCCAGCAACCCCCACTTGTCCGAGGACCAGCACTTCCCTCAGCAGCGGCTTTCCCGGAAGGCAAGGCAGAAAACCAACGTCTTTGACCCGGATTACATCGCAGGGGTTTCTCCCTTCGCGGAAAACGACATCTATAGCCGGGCGGCTCACCTGCAGATCCGGGACGCAGCGCTGGGGGCGGGCCGGCGGCGCATGAACCCCAACGCTGCGACCAAGAAGTTTGTGAAGAAGCGATGAAGGGAGGGGCCCTGCTGTGAGCTGGCTGCCTCCGAGGGAAGCCGTTGCCTCAGGGCAATAAGCAGTGTCATGTGGTGGTGTCTGATCCCGGGAGGAGGGGGAGAATTGTCGCAGGGCGTCCCAGTGTTGTTCCAAAGCTTCCTGCGCTGCCTGGGTTGGGGGGGGCTGTTGGCTCAGCTGGCTGGCTAAGGAGCCCAGCAATGCCTGTGGGCAGCATGGGAGGTGCACGTTGTCCTTGTGGACTCCCCACTGGCCCTGAGGCTCCAGCCCGCTGGTCGGGGAGCGCAGGGCCCTGGACCCTGCATGCGCTGCAGGAGGCGGCCACGTGCTTTTCACTGCTCCTGTCCCGCGGGGAGCAGCAGCAAAGGCGCCGTTAGCGATGACGGCTTCTCTGGGTGCTGCCGCCCCGCCCCCCACTTCTGTCTCGCTGCAACTACAACGGCTCTTCGGGCAGTTTCAGTGGTGCATGTGGCTCTTGGCCTCGGGTAGCCCGTGGCCACCGCCCCTCGGGCCATGCCCTGGCAGAAAGAGGAGCAGAGTTTGCACCATCTCCTGGGGCCTGACAGCGCCGCAGCAGCCTGACTCCAGCGCCCGGGGGGAGTCTGTTCCTTCATGTTTTGACTTGGCTAACAAACCCCTCAAGGTGAATGCTCAGCAATTCGGCCCTGTTAACACTGCAGGAGCAGACAGCTGCCCCCGCGCCAGAACCTGGGTTAGAAGCCATCCGCTCCGTCCCCCAACAGCTGCCTGTGAGTTAGGCGGCAGAGGGAAGGCAGGCGGCTCCTGTTTCTGCTGCAGGGGACCGGCGTGAGCAGTCTGGGAACACTGGCAATAGACCCGGACTGTTTGTGTAACTCCCAGGGGAGTAGCCCCAAAACTGCAGGAGCTGCTCTAGTGTCAGCTCTCCTTGCCCCCATTCTGTTTGCCCCCCAGCTGTTCTCAGGCTGCTGGTAGCCCCTGCGTTGCCTGGCAGGTTCACACACGGCGTTGTCCAGTCGCTGCCTCGCCTGAAGCATCCCCCTGTGGCCACGCACGGTCTTTCCCTGGGTGGCTGTCCCCGCCCGGCGACACACACAGACGGACGTGCTCCCGTCGGCCGGCAGCTCTGCTGTAACAGCACTAACTGGGAGCAAACAAACGGACGGGTATTAACAGCTCCAGTGTGAGCAGGGATAAGAGCAGCACCAGGCATAGACACACACAAAGCTGTAACAGCCAGGCTGAGCGCTTGACAAACGTGCCCTGCAGTGCTGTTAGCCAGCCCCTGCATGACCCCACCTTCCTTCTTGTGACCCCAGACCCCGTTACTTCTAGGGGCAGAACTAAAACGGCTCCTCGGTCCTTCCTCAGAGACCCCCTAGGTCCTGTGAAGCAGGAACAGCTGAATAGACAGAGTAGGTCTGGCAGAAACGCCTGTTATCAGCTGTGCCTTGGGGCATTATTTGAAACACGGCTCGTGGCTGCATGACCAGCGTGTCCCCAGGGTCCATGTCAGACCTTACAGGACGCGATGGCTGAGTCCTAGGAGCTGGGGTGCAAGGTGTAGCAGGCCCGACAGGAGTAGCTCCTGTAGAACAGTGAGGGAGGGGGCCTGAGGGTCACCAAGACCTCTCCATGCCCTTAGGCCGGCGAAGTAGCTGCCAGCCTAGGCAGCAGCAGGAAATCCTCGGGTGCCTGGCTCCACGTGGTCCCGGAGCTGTGGCCTGTTTCTGGGAGCTCGCTGCTGCCTGAGATCATGCCCCCTGGAGGTGGCCTGCAAGCCAGCCCAGAAGCACCTTAGCCTGTGTGGCAGGACAGGCCTCCCTTAGCTGGAGAACACTCCCCTGCCCTGTATTTCTGCAGGGAGGGGGATGGTTTCCAGTTAGAGGGCTGCTGGGCAGCTGTTTGCCTCCGTGGCTTCAGCTGACGCTGATGGAATTCCCTGCAAGGAACTCAGCGAGCGTGGCCTCCCACCCATCAGAGGGGCGGCGCTGGGGGCTCTGCTGCCAGTAGAAGCCTGGGGAGGAGGAAGCCAGCAAATACCACCATGAGCGAAGGGGCTTGTGCTGCGTTGGAATCTCAGCCAGAGGCTCCGGTGCCACGTCGGTATTTTAGATCCGAAGGAGCGGTCGCTTCAGTGGGGCTGCTGCCTGCTGGGAAGGGCAGCCCCGGAGAGGAACCGGAGGGGCCGCTGTACTGGCTTTCCTC